AAAAACTCAAGGGGAGCGGCGACCGCTGCGTGCTGGACCCCGCATGAGTTAGCGGCCAGTGCGAGTGGTGGCGTCGCTGGGCACCACCATCAAGCGGGCGATGAGAAAACCAAACGGCCGTGCTGCAGGCGGACTCGGGGCCGCATCAGGCGCGCGAGGCCAGCCAAGGAAGGGGCCAACGACCTGTCCAGCAGCAAACCCTCGTGGTGCGCCGCTGGGCGCCCGCACGGGAACGAGGATGGCGCCACCGCAGGAGCGCGAGGCCCCCAGCAGAGCGCGAGGGGGCGGGTCAGGGAGGGGGGGAGGAAAGGAGCGAAGAACCTGCCGACGGAACCGCCAGCGAGGCGCGACAGCGAATCGAAGCGAGCCACCCGACGCCGGGGAGTGGGGTATCCACCAAAACACTGGAACACCAAAACACGAAACACAGAACACGAAACACCACACACATACACAGCCGTCAGCCACACAGACGCGCAAGGTAACAGAGGTAATGACCAAGCGCGCAAGTTGCGTGCATGCACAAGCCTACGGTGGCCGATGGTGGCTGACGAGCCAGGGCCATCTTCATGGTCGTGCTGCCGATTTGGGGCGGCGGCTGCAACACGTGTGACGGGCACGCGCTGGGCGGATCCACTCGCACCCCGCTGTACAAGGCACGCGCCGGTCTCGTGCTCGCGCCCTTTTCCGGCAACGAGCGCAAGGAGCTGTCCCAGGAAAATCCCGCACCAGGCCTGCTGCTCCAGGTCCTGCTCGGTAATGCCGCTGGTCCCAGCGCGCGCGCCGAGCGCTCTCTGGATGGCAAGTCCGTTCGGCGCTGTTCCCCGTCGTCCTCTTCCTCGCCCTCCTCCCAGCCATCCCTTCCCCCCAGCGCTGGCTGTAAATCGGGCCTGTCCCCCAACAGGGGGATTTCGGACGAAAAAGTTAAAATACCCCAAAAATACCCCAAGACGGCCAACAAATACTCAAAAAAAATCGTCCCCCGATTATTTTTAAACTATTTTTGAATACTCCCCCTGTAGAGGGACAGGCCCGACTTGACGCTGGCTCGGTGGAGAGACACCCCGCAGAGTGGCAGGGCGGGCCGGGAGGGCGTGCGTGCGTGGGCTCTGCCCCGCTGGCTTCTCGCCGCCTCGCCTGCCCCTCCCTCCTCCCTCGCCCTTCTCGTGGTGCTTGGCTCATGCGCGCGGCCCGACCTGCCTCGCCGCCGCGGGTGGTCCACTGCTGCGGCGTTCCTGTCGCGAGGCGCCCCCGCTCCACCTTCAGTCGCGGTGCGGTCCCCGCCCCTCGGCCACCCACGGGAGGCGAGAAATCCCACCAGCCCTCTTGGCGTAGGTGACCTAGGGCGGCGCCTCCTCCAACCCCCTTCTTCCCCTTCGGGGAGGAGTTTACCCCTCCCCCTACCCGTTCCCCTCGACATGGACGGGGCCGGTCCCGAGCAGTCAGGGCGTCCAAAACGGCCTCGGCGAGGAAGCCGAAAGCATTGGTTTTACAATGGTTTGGGCCCCATTTGGGCCTCTTGAAGGGGCAGGGCTACAGGGTGTGTTGGAGGCTTCTGGGGGGTCCCTGAATCCTCTCGGAAGTCTCTGGCGGCCTCCTGCTCCCGCTCTTGGGCTCATCTTGGGCCTGTTCTGGGGTGGTCTGCAGCTGTTCTGGGCGCCTCCTCGGCAGCCTTGGGGCCGTGTTGGCCGTCTTGGGGCCATTTCGGGGGCCTCTTGGGCAGTCTCGGGGCGGTTTGGGGGCCTCTTCGGCCGTCTTGGAGCGCTAGAAGCATGAAATGGTGAGAGGGCCAAACAACCCGGAGGAAAAACAAAAAAAAAAAACTGAAAATTAACGATTCTTGGTTCGGCCCCCCGGGAGCCTGGAGAGCCGCCCGAAAGCTATCCTGAGTTGCTTGGGAGCGTCTTGGGCAATTCTTTGACGTTCTGGCGGTTTCTTGGGGTCGTCTTGGGCTGTCTTTAAGCATTGTGGGGGTTCCCAGGGAGGCCGGGAAGCGCGGCACCACGATCGCAATCGAGATGTGAGCGAGGTGGAGGACGCCCCAAGAGGCGGCCCACCGTATTTGTTTATGTTATATATCCGTCGGCGGCGACGCGCAGGCAATCCGCACCAGCGTGTGGCAAATCGGGGCAACCGATGTGCAAAGTGTCCAGCGTGCAAGAGAGAGAGGAGATAGAGAGAGAGAGACAGAGACAGAAAAAAAGAGAGAGAGAGAGAGAGAAAGAGAGAGAGAACAAAAAAAAGAGAGAGGCGAAGACGACGCCGGCCGCCCGAAGGGAGGAGGGGGACAGCGCTCAGACGTGGAAGAGTTCCGCGGTGAGCGGGCTTGAGCGGCCAGCCAGGGCAGCGGGGACCGCGGCAGCAGCCGGGGCTGGGGCCAGGGCGCAGGGCGCAGGTTTATCCACACACACACACACACACACACACACACACACACACACACACACGCACGCGCGCGCGCACGCGCACGCGCGCGCGCGCGCACGCACGCACGCACGCA